TAGAAAAAACGAGACAAATATCGCACTCAATGAAAACCTTTGGCATAATTGCTGGGAATGGCGAACGATATGCCGGCCGTCACTTTCATGGTGTTGATGCCGATGGCCTCGCCGTCCAAATTAACCAAAGGTCCGCCAGAATTGCCCGCATTTATGGACGCATCGGTTTGGATGAAATCAATTTCCTTTAAATTCAGGCCTAATTCGCGTGACTTTCGCCGCACAGAAGATATCACTCCAACCGTTATTGTATTGCTTAAGGAGAAGGGACTGCCCATCGCTATCACCCATTCACCCGTCCGACAGGTGTAAGAGTCACCGAAGTTTATATACGGAAACGTCTCGGCACTGGTCTCGAGCCTAACCGTTGCCAAATCGAGTCTGTGGTCGACGTACTCGACCCGACCCGACACTATTCGGCCGTCAAATAGTTTGACCGAAACTACGGAAGCGTTGGCCACGACGTGAGCGTTGGTCAGTATGAGACCCGACGAGTGGACCAGAAATCCGGATCCGCTCGACACCGAGACAGTCAGCTCCGGATAGAAGGGATGCCTTCCCTGCACTTCGATGTAGACCAGAGCCGAAGACACTCTTTCGGTCACATCAGCGATGAAATTGAATCTCATGGACGCCGACAACGAATCCGTCTCCTCTTTGACATCGCTTTTCAAGAAAAGATGGGCTCTTCTTATGGACACAAACGGTGACAATAAAGGCGTTAAACACTTATTAAACGATTCCAACAAATGGTATCTTTTATTGAGACAATCTTCGCGTTCAAAGTACTGATGAAACTTCTTCTTCTTCGTCGTTATTTACCTAGGTTACCACTGACGTTACTTTCGCTCTGTTATCAACTAACTCACCACTTCACTACCTGCTCAACAACTCGCTTCACAAACAGACTGTCGGTCACTATCACTCCGGTCTCTAGCTCCCATAGATTGGTTTGTGTTTACGTCTAACACATGTTCGACACGTCTATCGCTTGTCTGCAATCCATTCACACATTCACTGCATTTAGTGTTTGTCTGACAGCCAGTGATAGTGAGGCCAGAGATCGAGCCATAGATTGGTTTGTGTTTACGTCTAACACATGTTCGACACGTCTATCGCTTGTCTGCAATCCATTCACACATTCACTGCATTTGCCGTACATTTGGATACAACTAATAGATAGCGATAGCAATGCTTTCAATGCATTCTTTACCCCTAATCAAGATTTAGGAATTTTATTGTCATTTATACTACAATTTGCAGTTTAAATATTTATTAAATTGTCATTATTACCACACAAATTATAAATACATATTGTACATGGTCATATTACTAATATATTAACAAAAATCAAGAACAGTCTAAATTAGGTGTAAATGATCATGTATAGTCAACTACCATTATGCTTGTTCAAATTGTTCAAGATTAAAGTTAGTATCTTGATGATTGTTTACGGCCGGCATATTTACCGGTTATAATGTATTGATTTATAATTAGAAATACATTTGCGAAGCGATGGGCGTTAGGAGTGAGCGGTGACCGCGTTTTTGGTGTCAACTCTTTCAGATATATTTAGATTTATGTTTAGATAAAAATGTAATTACCAAGAAGTAAGTCATATATAATTTAGAAATTAAATTCAAATTAATTGTAATAAGTGTCACAACTATTACTATATAATTACAGGAATACAGCACTAGTTTGATATATGATTGCAATTAACCATATATTATAATTTATATCATATGAAATAATTAGGAATGTAATGGCTTTTTAATTAAACATGATAAAAATATCAAATATGATTAGATGTAATCTCTTACGTAATCTTACATCCGGGTATTTAATGACAATATAAATACAGTGTTTGTGTTTGCGATAGTTTTCGGCTCTTTTTGGTGTCGCAAATATTGCCATTAAATGTGTTTATTGTTTGATTGATAATCGCATTACGATTTCATGTGAATCTCAAACTATAAGCGCAAGTGTTTTCGCATTTATTTAAATGATAACAAAATTGTAACAACAATTTCAATCAATTATCGATCCAAATATCTGTTGTGACACAATTTACTACCAATTTATACCATAAATGGCATGTAATATAAGCTTTTAAATGTATGTTTTAAAGGGATTACTAACTTATGTTGTGCCAAATAAATACACATTTTACATATTTTATTCTTTGTGAAAACATATTTTTAATTAAAATTAAATTTATAATCTCAAAGTTTTGGACACTTTATCATCTGATTTCAATTATCATAAATTTGTTCATATTTTTCAAAAATATTAATTATTTATATATCCAAAGTGTAGTATATTTACATTTATGCATTAGTGTTAGCACTTCTAGAAAATTAATAGGTTTCTCAGTTATGCCGGGAATATATTACATCTATCATTCATATATACATAATAGTACTGTATATTCAATATTTAATACATTACATACAGTATTATTCTTGTATAAGTTATACGATATAACTGTTCAGTGAGTGTTGTCTTTCACTTAAGTGAAGTGCAATTTCAATTGGAAATGAGAATTTGTTTTGCTTTCGCAAAAATTACATGAAAAGCAAATGCAGTATTAATTATGAAGCACTCAATCAAGTGAAGCAATCGATTATAAAATTTCAAACTTTTTATTAACAAAATATATAAAAACAGAATTACAATTGTATTGTTTGAGTATAATATACAGTAAATTAGACAAAAAATATAGATAAAAACATCAAATAAATTATGGCTAAAAAACAAGTGAACCGTTCAAATGATTTATGTTATATAAGGTCTGAGT